TGATATAGTGTTGATTGGAAGTTCCAACAAGCAGATTGAAGAAGTAGTGAAATTGCTTGGAAGTGAATTTACCCTGAATGATCTTGGTGATCTACATTAATTTTTTGGGCATAGAAGCTAAGAGTTGTGGTAGCTCATTAATTCTTAGCCAAAGGAAGTTTATTCTAGAGTTGTTGATGAAGATAAAAAAGAGCACTACCAATCCTGCATCTACACCAATGCTTGTGTCTGCTAAGTTAAGTCAAGATGCGGGGGTGTTGCTTCAGGATGCTTATGAGTATCGAAGCATTGTAGGTGCATTATTATATGCTCGTCACACTCGTCCAGACATAACCTTCAGTGTTAATAAGGCAACACAGTACATGCATGCTCCAAGACAAGAACATCTCGTTGCTGTTAAGAGGATTTTGAGGTATTTGGTGGGAACAATTAATCATGGCTTGGTCATAGCACCTGCAGTAGCAGGATTCAATGTAGTAGCCTTTGCTGATGCAGATTGGGTTGCAAGCACTGATGATCGCCAGTCTGTCTCAGGCTATTATGTGTTTGTAGGTGATAATCTTGTGATGTGGAACTCGAAGAAACAAAAGTCAGTTTCCAGATCGACTATGGAAGCTGAGTATAGAAGTGTAGCAGAGTTACTACTGAAACAACATGGGGTGAGTGCTCTCCTAAATGATTTGGGTGTTGCAAAGCAGAAAATTCCAATAGTTTGGTGTGATAACAGCAGTGCTGTTGCAATGATAGCTAATCATGTCTATTATGCAAAGAGTAAACATGTTGAGCTTGATGTTCACTTCGTTAGTGAGAATGTGGTGTTGAAGCAAGTGTTGGTGAACTATGTTCCAGGAAGTTATCAGGTTTCTGATGGATTCACAAAGCCGTTAGCTGCTGCTCGATTTAAAGTGTTTAAAGCCAGGGTGAATGTGCAGTCTTTTCTTTGGGAGAAAGAATAAGAAGTAGGGAGAATGTTGAATGATGAAGCTTTTAGTGAATGATGAAGTTGCTAGCTGATGTGTACGGTTAGTTGTATAGTTAGGAAAACTGTTAAAAACAGTAGTTAGATGTTAGTTGTTAGCTGTTGAACAGTTATAAGGGCTGTTGTAAACTCTTGTATATAAGGAGTGTTATAGTTCATTAAGTGATATGCATTCTGGTTATATTTCTTGTTGTTGTAGTTACTTCCTCACACTTTGCAATTTCAAGAAGAAGCCCCTGAACCCAATCCATCCCAGCTAAGGCTTTTCCATTAGGTGCATCAGAGGATGATAACAAAGGGCATCAATTTGACTGCAACAGTATTCTTATAGATCCTTATGCAAATCTAGTAGAATGTCATTCAACTTTTGGAGATCCAGAGCATAAATTATCAAAAGTTCTTGCAACTTACGATTTTGATAGCTTGCCTTTTGACTGGGGAGATGACTACAAGCTCCCAAATATATGAGATGAATGTATTTGCTTGAATCAAAATATATGTGGCACTTATGCCGGTCTGATTGAGAAGGTATTGGTTTATGGCTTTATGCTCAATCACATTCTAAGAAATTGGTACCTGAAAAATGTGTTATTATTCGTGATTTCAGTTTGCATTTTATCATATTTAATGCATTTTTATGTAATTTAATCTTAACTTTGAGCTATAACCGAGAGTTGAACAATGATACTTATGATTGATACAAATAGGGGTTTTGGTGTAAGACATGGGCATTCTAGAATTATGGGTTTGAAAGGATTGGAACATCTGATATTTGCTTTCCCTAATGAAAATCAACTTTTTTTGCAAACAAATTAAGTAGTCCGTAATAGTCCCCAGCAATGTTAGCAAAGATTATGGAAATAGTTGAGGAGAGTGAAGTCATGGTATTATGTCGTTATATTTGGAAAACCTGCATGTTCTAGATGGAAATCAACATGCTAAAGTAAATTTTGTTAAACTAGTTTTATTCCGGAGCATTGATTAAATGGACTGGATGTAATTTTGTTAAATTACTTGAATATGAGGTTAGGAATATTGGATATTGAGATTGCAGGTGGACACCAATCTTGCATCCCCCGATGATTTTGTTGGCATCACCACCTACAATGTGGCTCCCTACCCTTCCATTATTTTTCAAGCTAAATAACTATGAAGTGGCCTTACCCCAGATGGATCCTCCTTTGGACTTTGGATCCGAAGGACCGAGAAAAGAGTATGATCAAATTTGTTATGGTATTTGCATTATTGTATTGTATCCAATGCTTTGTTGATTTTTAAGTTCTCAAAACATTTGAAAAAAAATAAACTCTCATACAAAATGAAAATACCATTAATCATAAACTATTTAGGTTTAGGTAACGATCCATATTATTAAAAAAATTCCAATCAATCAACACGATACAAACAAAGATAAAAATGGATTTTTTTTGTAGAAGAAAAATGAGTTCAACAGCACAGCCACTATCCTGATCATGGCCATTACTCTTTGCCCACAAGATTAATTATGAAACAACCATAAGAAACAATGCAACCCACGTTGTGACAATAGCCACAAATGGGGAGAGACTCCATGATGAAGAATCTGGGGCTATGGTTGTTTTTGTGGTAGATGGTGTGGTTGTCGATGGTTTATCGCTGGAAGCCAGTGAGGAAGCGGTGGAAGAAGATGGTGACTTAGCTAAAGACTTGAACTTGGACGGTGCCGGTGCTGAGCCTGACTCCACTTTAACAACAAGCTTCATGTCATTCCCACAATGGCCCACTACACCACAAATGAAGTAATGAGTCTCAACCTTTTTGAGAGCAACGACGGTGGTTCCCATGTTATATATTGTGATGGCATTGCCCACTGTGCACGTATTGTAGTCACTTGAACTCTATTGGTAAAAAAAGAATAAGAAATGAATATGAAGAACATGATAAAATCACACATTTATTCAACAACTAAAATAAGTTATTTATTCAGCAAGAGTTTGAGATAAAATCCAAAAATATTTCAGAGATTATATTAATCTAAACAAACTTTTGATTGTTTTATTTTCCTAAAAAACATAAATTCTATTTGCCTAAAGACTAGGAGTAATCATAACTAATACAACTTCAAATCATAAAAGATCATAAAAGTTAACACTCCTCGTTGATGTTGGAGCTACAAACACCAAGATTTTGTCTTAAAAATTCAAATATGGCTTTAGGCAAAGCCTTTGTAAAGATGTCATCATATTGATTTTTGATACTGTAATAAACCAGCTGCACCTCTCCTTATTTTTTAACATCACGAATGAAGTATAATTTTATTTTGAAGTGTTTTGTCCTGCCATGGAACATTGAGTTATTAGCTATTGATATATCAACTTGATTGTCCATAAATATCTATGTATTTTCCTCTTTCTCCATATGTAAATCTGTCAACAGTTTTCTGATCCAGAGTGTCTGATTTGTAGCAGCAATAGCAACCACATAGTCTGCTTCTGCTGTAGATTGAGCAACGATTTCTTGTTTCTTCAAACTCTAAGAAAAAATTCCAAAACAAAGACTAAAACAGTTACTTGAGGTGCTACGCATATAATCAACACATCCAACCCAATCATTATCCGAATAACCATGGAGGCTGAAATTTTCAACTTGACTGAACTTTACGCCATAATCCATTGTGCCTTTTACGTACCTCGTAATTCTTTTTGTTGTTTGAAAATGAATTTCACAAGCACAATTCATGTACCTTGATAACAAACTCACAACTTGCATGATGTCCGACCTGGTTATTGTCAAGTCCATCAAACATCTAATTAAACTTCTATACAATTTATCACCAACTTTTTAGCTTCATTATTTTTTGAAAATTTCTCCTTTTGATTCATTAGAGTTGCAGTTGGCTTGCATGCTTCCATGTTAAATTTGTTGAGGACTTCTTTTGCATATTTTTGTTGGCACAAAAAAATTTCGTTTGGCTTTTGTCGTACCTGCATACCAAGAAAAAATATCATTTCTCCAAGGTCTGTCATTTCAAAGACCTCTTTCATCTCATATTTGAACTTCTCAATCAACTGCAACCCACTGCCTGTTACAAGCAAGTCATCAACATAAAGAGACACCACAAGTATTTCATCACCACTCTTCTTGATATATAAAGTAGATTCACTTAGGCATTTTTCAAAGCCTAAGTTAAGCAAGTATGAATCAATTTTGTTGTACCATGATCATGGCGCCTGTTTTAAGCCATACAGTGCCTTTTTGAGTCGATACACCTTCTCTTCTTCTCCTTGAACAACAAAACCTTGTGGTTGTTCAATAAATATTTCCTCCTTCAAGTGACCATTCAAAAATACTGATTTGACATCCATTTGATGTACAAGCCAACCTTTTTGTGCAGCAAGGGCCAATAACAATCGTACAATATCCATCCTCGCAACCGGAGCAAAGGTCTCTAAAAAATCTACCCCAAACATTTGAGCATACCCTTTGATGACGAGCCTCACCTTGTATTTGTTTACAGAACCATCAAAATTATGTTTGGTTCTATAAGCCTATTTCACTCCAATAGCTTTCTTGTAAGTTGGTCTGTCCACCAGTTCCCATGTTTGATATTTTTCAATCATGTTGAGCTCTTCCTTCATTGCAGCCATCCATTTTTTTATCAGATGTTGCTTCTTCGTACTCTGCAGGCTCTATCATAGCAACATTACACCTTTGATAGATAGCAAAAAGCGATCGAGTTCCTCTAACAGGTTTATCATCTATGTTATCGTCTTCATCTTGAAACTCAATCTTTTTGTCAATATCCCAACTCCAGCTATCTGACTTATGGAACTGGACATCTATGCTAATTATGACTTTATTTTGTTCATGCAAATAAATTCTATAGGCATTTGAGGATATATTATAGCCTACAAAAATTCTAGCCTCTGTTTTATTGTCTAATTTGTCTCTCAACCTGATGAATGCAAGAGAAACACAAGCAACCAAATATTTTTCAAATTAACACGTTCTGGTTTATAGCCATACAATGCTTCAAATGGAATCCTTTTTGCAAAACTTTGGTTGGAAGTCTGTTGAGTAGATAAACTAACGTGTTTGCTACTTTAGACCAAATTTTTTCGGCAATTTTTTATCATGAAGTAAGCACCTTACCATATCCATAATTGTTCTATTTTTCCTTTCCACCACGTCATTTTATTGTGGAGTGCAAGGTGCAGTCAACTGATGCTCGATGCCTGCATCTTGACAAAATTTGTTAAACTTTTCAGAAGTATATTCAGTTCCATTATCAAACCTAGGGATGGACATAGGACTCAAACCCAATGGGTTCTGACCCGATTGAGTTGGGTTTTTTTTTAAAAAAAATCAGGTTCAGGTCGGGTCGGGTCGGGTCGAATTTTTTAAATGTGATGTTCGGGTTGGGTCGAATTTGGGTTTATGGTGAAAAATACCCGATCCGACCCGACCCGAAAAATATATATAATTTTACCTTATATATGTAGAAATAATTACAATAATACACATCTATATATTATTTTTTCAATTAAGTCACTGTTTTTATTAAATAAAAATGATATTTATTATTATTTGGGGTAGGGTCGAGTTTTTAAGTTATATATCGGGTCGATGAAATTTTGTTTTGGTTGGGTCGGGTTGGATCTCGGGTGGAGGATTCCTTGTTCTCGAGTCGGGTCGGGTGGACGAAAAATCTAACCCAAACCGACCCATGCCCATCCCTAATAAGACCTGATCACCTGCATCTTGCAACCACTTTGAGTTTCCACATAAGCTTTAAACTTCCAAAAAATGTCAGCAACTTCATATTTAAACTTCATGAAATAAATCCAACAAAATCTTGTGAAATCATCATTGAAAGCAATGTACTACTTACTGCCATTCAATAAAGGTATTTTGATGGGCCTTACTATGTCTGTGTGAACAAGTTGTAATTTTTTAATAGCTTGGAAGTGTGAACAAGTTGTAATTTTTTAATAGCTCTCCAAGCTATATTTTGCAGAAAAGTGAGCCTTGTTAGTTTCTCGTATCGACAAATCTCACATGCAGGTAACTCATTCTCTAATTGAGGCAAGCCTTTTGCAAGACTATTTTTCTTCATAAAAAATATAGCAGCATGGTGAAAATGGCCCAACCTTCTGTGCCAAAACATGGTATAATTTTCTTTTTTGTGTACAATAGCATGCTCTTCTAGCATAAAGTTCAAGGAAAAACTTTTGTATTTCATATGAATGTTGAACACATCTATGTTTTTTGCATATTTGATTATGCAATTTTTGTCTTCAAATAACACATTATACCCTTTTTCCAATAGTTAAGCAACACTCAAAAGTTTCTGATTAATTTCAAGCACATATAACACATCAAAAATAAATTTCAAACCTGTATGACCTTCAATCGCCACTGTTTCTTTGCCTTCCACATTGATATATGCTCCATTTCAAATTTTGACTATAGATACAACAGTTTGATGAAGCTCTTTGAAGAGATCACGATCATAATATATATGATTTGTACAACCACTGTCTATAAGCCAACTTTCAGTGGAGTTGCTAGTGGTGAAACAGGATGCCACAAATATTTGCTCATCATCTTATGGATTCTAAGTAGCATTATCTTCTTCTTGTTGTGAATACTTGCAAAATTTTCCCATATGTCCTACCTGTCCACACTTATTGTATTTCACATCCGACCTCCACCAACATGTTTTTTTGTGGATGGTTGCTCTTTTTACATTAAGGACATGATGGAAAAGTTTGAGTGTTAATTTTTTTCCATTTGTGAAACCTCCAATCTATTTGCTTTTACTATGCATCTTTTTCTTGATTTTGTAACCGCTGTAGTTGTGCGATTTGGCTTGGAGAGCTCCCTCTATTGTTCCTCCTTACCGTATACGTCTCATTTGTTTCTGAGCTTGCAAAACATTTAACAACTCTGCCAAGGTGATGATTGACAAGTCTTTCATGTTTTCCAAAGATGAAATTGTAGTTTCAAATCTTTCAGGAATTGTAACAAGAAGTTTTTGTACAATCCTTGAATCAGAAAAATCATTGCCAAGGAGTCTTACGTTGTTAACAATGCTAAGCAACCTATCATAATATTCCTTGATTGTCTCCGATTTTTTTCAACTCGAATTCTCTGCACAAGTTCAATGCTCTCACACCTCTGATTCTTTCGTCTTCTTTATACTCTTTCTTTAAGAAATCCAGATTTCTTTAGCAGTTTTATTGGTCATAATCCTATTAAAAATAGAATTCAAAACTGCTGCAAACAGGCTAGCTTTGGCTTTGGATTTTTGCTGCTTGCGATCCTTGTGCTTCTTGATTTGAGCCACAGTTGGCTTGTTTGGTAAGGGAGGAGTTTCATATTCTTGTTCAACAGCTTCCCACACATCAATAGCATCAAGATAGGCCTCCATTCTAACAACCACCCTTGATAATTGGTGCCGTAAAAAATCAGAGGAGCAAGTGCAGTGAACGAAGCTTCCACATTCATGTTTTTATTAGATATGGTTTTGTATTTTGTTGGTTCTTTGAATTCAAAGATCCCTTAGGATATAGCTCTGATGCCAATTTTTTGGTATAAAAAAGAACAAGAAAGGAATATGAATAACCTGTTGAAATCACACATTTATTCAATAGCTAAAACAAGTTATTTATACGACAAAAGTTTGAGATAAAATCCAAAAAAATATTCTGGAGATTATGATAATCTAAACAAACTTTTGATTGTTTTATTTTTCTGAAAAACATGAATTCTATTTGCCTAAAGATTAGGAGTAATCATAACTAATGCAACTTCAAATCATAAAAAAAATCATAAAAATTAACAAACTCACTTCATCCACTGAATGGCTAGTTGGGTAGTTGAAAACTAGGTTAACCAAACAAAATTCAACCGTGTCAGTTAATGATGGACCAATCTAAATATGCTCTGATCAAATGTGAAATTCATTTGAAAATTAGGGTTTAGATTTTACAACTCACCAAGGCTATCACCAACTTTGAAGGTCTTACCACTAGTCCATGTGCTATAATCTACCCCAGTTGTCCAGCCAGAGGCGTCACCAACAGTTTAAACTTTGGCCAAGCTCGGCACCACCATACATGAGACCAGCAAAAGACAAGCCATTCCCACACTTGAGATCGCCATTCTTTTTGCAGAGTAATTAAGGACGTAAAACAGGGACATAAAAGAGAGGCTTGTGTGATGGTAACTTTCCGAAGTGGGATTCTTTTTATAATGCCATGAAACGGGGGGATGGTGTCTTGGGCGGGGGTCCTATACCTAATGCAATGGGCCCCGAACTTTATCTCTCTCTCTCTTTTTATATTGACCTACACTTAAAAACAATGGTTGTTAAGTAGGGACCCCAACGGCTAATGGTGGTTAACTGGTCATGATGCTAAAGCCGTTTCGAAAGACATCAATTATGCATTCAAGCTATGTGAACTCCACCAATATTGCTACATTTTTAATGATGGATTGTGAATAAAGAGAAGCAAGGAAAAGGCTTATTGTTTTTTTTTTCCTCCTAGATTCTTTCGTAAAAAAAAAGGTTCATTTGTTGTCATCATGTCAAACTGATAACAAGGTCATTATCATCATTAATGCAAAAAGATGGGTTACAGTGATGCAAACAGGGTGGAACGTAGTATTTGAACACTGCTTGAACTCTACTCAAATATAATGTGATCCACATTAAGGAGACTAAACCCTTGTTTGAAACACCAATCTTCCTTCCAACAACCCCGTAAATGGCCATTTCTCATTGCGTATGTGCAAAAGATGTGATAACTTGGAGATTCAACTAACGAGGAGTTCAAAAAAATTACAACAAAATCCAAACAGACGAAGAAAAGTTTCAGTCTCTTTTTTCTAATTATTATTTAAAATAATATTTAATTTTAATTTATTAAAAAATAGATCTTATACATTAAAAAATAATATATTTGTCCACTTGAGATTACAACATTATTTTTCATATTATATTATATTTTATATAAATAAATATGATACTAATGAAAATTATTTAAAATTATAAGTTTGATATACTAATTATATTAATTATATGTTAAATGTATTTTTTCTTTAAACTTAGTGTAATAATTAAAATATTTATAATTTAATATTAAAGTTTTACTTGTTAATATATATATATATATCACAAGGATAATTTAGTAAAATATACATTCAAATAATTTTATATTCCTTCAATTAAATATTGTAATCGTACATTCCTATTAAGTAAACCAAACAGGGTAATAAAACATTCTTAAAATAATATTATATTCCAGTAATCTAATTCCAAAGATAATTTTAAATTCTGTGAACCAAACGCACTTTAAATTATTTGCGGACATGAACAGAAATACCATGAAAAAAGAGAGAGAAAAAAGTATATTGAAGCTTAATTATTATGTTTACTTGCATCCTCTGCGTTTATTATTATTATTATTATTATTATACATTTTGTATATTCATCAATAAATGTTTTATTAGTAGTAATACAAGTTACGTTCTTAAGGAGAACTAAATTCAAACTTAAAGTTTGGTTGGACAACTACAGCTTCGAACATGGACATAAATACGAACAATATTAGTTTTATCTTTTATATATTCTAAAGATTCAATTATATAATGTAAAGTTTTTTAGTTTTCTACAATAAAAAACGAGAATATATTCAATGCAAAAAAGAACAATGAATTAATCTCAACAACTAATTTTCACTCATCCAATAGATTTATATCCGTGTAAAATTAAAATTATTTTACATTGCGTAAATAATTCCTTACTCATTCGCATATTTGTTTTGTATTTTAATTATTAATCATATTTGAGCTTCCAATTGGTTTACGCTAACTGTCCTTTGTATCGGAGTCCAGCTAACTAGGCTAGTCATCTTGTTCTGCTCGATCATCCCTTTCACCAACCGCAATACCATCCCAACTTTTCTTGACAAACTAAATAATTCCTTGGCTCTTCAACCAGAAGGCGGCCAACCACCACCGGAACCGGCGAAGCCGATAAAAATGAAACATACCAGGCAACATATACTAATGAAGTAATGACTTGAATGATTGCTAGTTTCTAGTAAAAGAAGAATATGATATAATGAAGTGGATGAGTTAATTATTAAATAAAACCCTATTCTTTTCTAAACCTGAAAAAAAGTTTACAAAGGTCTAGAAGCCAGACTTTCCTTGTTAGGTAATTGTCCCTTCACTCTGATAAAAGATTTGAGTAAGATTTAGAAGATGCATCTGCATGCTGTACCTAAGTGTTTGTTGCACTTTCAAAATCAGTTGGATTTCCTTCTGTTAAATTCCTCTTGGTTCGAAGTTTTGAGATCATAGGGAGTCTTTCATTATCAACAGGTGTGATAAACCTAATCTACTTCATTCTAAGCAATAGGCGTAAAAGAGCAGAAATAATAATAGACAAATGAAATGAAAACTTTACTCGGTGGCTGCTTGTTCCAAAGTAGTGTTCAACTCAGTTTAATTATCTTCATAGACTGAACTCTGTTCTGACACATACCGTCTACTCCGTTTAATTCGTATTGGCCTCCCCATAAACATCTACAGAATAAAGAAATTCTGATCGTCAAAAACTCTTTCAGATGTTCAGCTCTTGCTTGATATGAAAGATTAGCCAAAAACATGTTGAATACTGGAGCTGGCTTGCTTTCTCAGGTTTTGGAAATTTCTTCTTCTTAGCTTTAGCATAATTGAGCCATAAGGCACGACCCTCTAATGCATACATTAGTTAATCAGGATAATTAACCAAAGCCCTCGTAAAATTAATTACATCATTACTTGGCCAGGGGAAATTAGCTTTAAGTACAAACTTTATAAAGGATTTTGCTAACAAATGTCATCAAAGCACTGGTTAAATAAGTATTCAAAGAAAT